AAAAAAAAAAAAAAAGACGTTTGTATATATTTTTATTTTTTTAGAAACGACCTCAAACTCCCGGGCTCTGCTTCCCTAAATAGGGAGCCTGAGATGTTGCAGTGAGCCAAGACCGCACCACTGCACTCCAGCCCCTGGAACAAAAAAAGAGACTCCGTCAAAAAAAAAAAAAAGAAAAAAAAAAAAACGCTTGCAATTCCTTCTGCTTCTCTCTCAAGTGACTCTCAAATAATAGTCTGACAAGATGAGCTTCGGTAACTTGATGTTCAGTTATAATTACATCACTTTTATTTTTCCACTTAATCATTTTGAGGCTCTTCTTAACCACATTAAGTAAACGTTTTCCTTAATGTCTCTTTCACTTTTCATCTAAGAACTTCAAGGTTTTACTTATTATGAGGGGCCAACCCTACTTTGGCCAATCCTACTTTCAAGCATGCGAGAACCAAAGGGACTGACTCGAAATTGGTCATTCACCAGTTTTGACTGTCATTGCTACCAGTAAGAGTGCTGCTGCTTTTGAAAACTGATGCCCCACAGTCTTGCCTGCCTTCATCCAATTGTTACGGTTACCTGCAGTGGCAGATGGACTACCACGCTGTTTTGTGCAGATGTTGAGATTGACGACCCCACATACACCAAGAGGCTATGCAAAAGTTTATTGCTTATGTAATTTAGATCTCTAGCAAGAGCAGAGCAGACCTCTCAAGCAGTTCTGAATGACTTGAAAGAAAGCAAGGAAAGGAGACTGGCCTAGGTTTTTATTGTGGTCAGGAGGTGGGACCAGGGTGGAAGTTCCTGCACATGGGCAAGGGATTGCCTGTTTGAATCAGGAGGGATAATCTAGGCTTTCTTATCAGTTTATCTAGATGTGGGGCACAAGAGGCAGATGGAGGGGTGGGGTTTAGAAACTGTCGGCTGACAAATATAAAAAACCGAAGACCCCTTATTTCCACATTGCTATGCAGGGAATCTCTGTATGTGCACACTCAAGGTGATAACTCATTGGCTCACACTCAGCTGCTCAGTACTATGCCTGGGTAGCGGACATAAAGAAGCTTCCAGATTCAGCCATACTGTGCCAGAACCAGAATACCTGAAAACCCCACAATCTACTATTGAACACATGCCCCTGGTCCAGGCTCTCCCTTTCCTCATGGTGAATTTCTCATTGGAGAATTCACTGGCTTTTCCTGTCAAAGAAATCTGCCCATGTTGGGCCAGCAAATCATTATGGTAATATAGTATTTCAAAAAAGAATAGAGTCTAGGGGTTCAGGGCTTTTCTATTCAAAATGCATCTTGACCTCTACGCAAATGCTTCCACCTAGTTCTCTACCTTCTCTCCCTATTCTTTTCTTTTTTTATATATTAACTATTTTTATTGGCGTACAAAGGGAAAAAAAAAATCTATCTTTTCATCCTGAATCTCAGGATTTACATATTTGTGATCAAGCAGTGTTTACAAATTTGTAGTCTGCATTTTTCCTTTGTACTATAATTTTTGTTGTCATTATAATCTTTAAAATCATGAAAAGAAAATGTAAAGTGAAATATCTAATAGCTTAAGCAATATGTTCATTTTTGCTCATCACCTTACTATTAATAAAAAAATATTTTTAAGTTGAATTACCCAGCAAATAAATTAACCCAGTTATAACATTACTAATCATTTCTTTTATTTCTATTTTTCTCAATTAAAATAGAATTATTTTTTTGTTTGTTTGTTTTTTTTAATTATTGTTATACTTTAAGTTCTAGGGTACATGAGCATAACATGCAGGTTTGTTACATATGTATACTTGTGCCATGTTGGTGTGCTGCACCCATCAACTCGTCAGCACCCATCAACTCGTCCTTTACATTATATAACACCCAATGCAATCCCTCCCCCCTCCCCCCTCCCCATAATAGACCCCGGTGTGTGATGTTCCCCTTCTCGAGTCCAAGTGATCTCATTGTTCAGTTCCCACCTACGAGTGAGAACATGTGGTGTTTTGTTAAGAATGTGGCCTCTGGAATGAAGCTTCCTGGGTTTAAATCATGGATACGCTAGCAACTGTGTAATCCCAGGCTGGGAGCTTAATCTCTGGATACTTCAGATCCACAGTCTAAAAAAAACAGAGTAACATTTCCCATGTCAGAGGGTTTTCAGGATTACATGAGATTATGTACATGAAGTATGTTGCACTGTGTTTAGCATAAAGTAAGCACTAAGTAGATGTTATTTATTGTTAATTCAAATTGTTTTTTCAAAATAACACATACATGTAATTAAAATTCAAATAGGACTTTAGAGCTTATAATGAAAAATGAAAGTTCCTTGAACCATCACTTCTCCTGAGTCCACTCCCTAGAGGCAACCATTTTTAGCTAAACTAGCTGTTTTCCTTTTTTTTCTAGTGTTGATTCCATTTTCTAAAGAATATGTTTTTGATGATGTTTGTTGATTTATCAATGTTGGGCATTCCCTAATGACTCTAGTAGGTGAAAATTCAACACCCTCACAGTATCCTCATAGCCTCACTTCTCTTCCTGCCCCTTTGCAGTGTGGTTGTATTATAATATTCGTGCACTTATGCAGATATCCTTCATTGCAGCTGCGAAATTTCCTATCTTGCAAACATTTTTTTGTTTAAAGCTTCCACCTGTGACATGGCTGTCATCATGATACTTTCCATTACTCATCCCTCATACGGGATATTAGAGAAAAACCTTCTCTCTGTTTTTTCCAGTTACTTCTCTGTATTGATTATTATTACTGGGATGTTCTCCAGTAGTTTCCTAATAAAAAGTTCTTTGAAGGTAAGCCATTTGAATTATTGTATGCCTGGAAATGTATTATCCTACCTTTGCATGATTGATTGGTTGATTAGGTATAGAAAATTATTTTACCCTATGATTGTGAAGAAAGTCTTCAATTTACCTCAAGCCTCCAGGGTCACTATAGAAGTCTACTGTCACACTATTTCACTTCTTTCATCTGTGCCCTATTTTCTTTTTTCTTTCTCTAGAGGCTTTTAGGATTTTAATTTTATCCCTATGCTCTGAACTTCACAACAATTTGCCTTCATGTATGTAATTTTTCATTCACTGATCTAGATACTTGAGGAGTCTTTATCACCTGGAGACACGTGTCCTTGATTTCTGAAAAATTGCTGGTTTCTTTGCTAAATTCTTCCCCTCTGCTTTCTCTATTCATTCATTCTGAATGAATGAATGAACTTCTATTGGCTGAACAGTCGAACATCAAAAGTAATTATTTAATATTCTTCTCTTTTCTCTCATCTTTTCTTTGCCATTTTTCTTCTTGTTCTATTATTTTTTAGGTGATTTTCTTGACTTACCATTTAATTCTTCTATTGAATGTTTTATTTCAGCTACATTTAAAAATTCACTGTTTTTCTTTGCTTTGTTTCTTTTTCATAGCATTCTGTTGGTAGTTCATTAACACAATATTTTTTCCTGATTTCTTAGCTTCTAAAATGCTACCTGACACTTACAGGTGCTTAATAAACAACTGTTGAATGAAAAAGGCTTCTATATTAATTATATTAAATTTTTTCTACTGTTTTCTGTTTCATCTCTGTCTCCTCGAAGTTCTATTTCTGTTTTTGCTTTTCTTTTCATTTTGGAGGGTTTCCTCAAATAGCTAGTATACTTTGGCTGATCATTCATTTTGATGTGAGGTTCTAAGAAGCAGTTTTGAAGTTTTGATTATTGGTATGACTTCTAGGCTTCATATAGGGTAATCTGGTGACTAGCTGCCTGTACTAGATTTGTATTGCTGCTTAACAAACTACCCCAATCTTTTTTTTTTTTTTTTTTGACGGAGTCTCGCTCTGTAGCCCAGGCCGGAGTGCAGTGGCCGGATCTCAGCTCACTGCAAGCTCCGCCTCCCGGGTTCACGCCATTCTCCGGCCTCAGCCTCCCGAGTAGCTGGGACTACAGGCGCCCGCCACCTCGCCCGGCTAGTTTTTTGTATTTCTTAGTAGAGACGGGGTTTCACCATGTTAGCCAGGTTGGTCTCGATCTCCTGACCTCGTGATCCGCCCGTCTCGGCCTCCCAAAGTGCTGGGATTACAGGCTTGAGCCACCGCGCCCGGCCCAAACTACCCCAATCTTAGTGGCTTAAAACAATAACCCAATTATCAGCTCACAGTTTCAGTAGGTTACAAGTCCAGCAAAATGTAGCTGAATTCTCTGCAAGGTTTCAGAAGGCTGAAATCAAAGTACTGGCTGGATTGAGCTCTAGTCTGGAGGATCCGAGAAAAAAAAAAATCTGCTTCCCAGCTCATCTTGTGGTTAGCTGAATTCAGTTCCTTGTGGTTGTAACACTGAAGTTCCATTTCCTTTCTGGGTGTTAGCTGGGGTTGCTCTCATCATCTAGAGGCCACCCACATTCCTTGTTCCCTCTGTCTTCAAGACTGTAACAACGTGCTGAATTCTTGTCATACTTGAAATCTCTGACTTCCTGTATTTAACCTATAGACTCAGATTTAAAGGATTCATGAGTTTACCTCAGACTCACCTAAATAATCTCCCAAACCAAACCTACAACAAAACCAAACAACGGTTTCAGTACTCATAATTG